GATCTTAATGTATCACAAGATGTGATTTTCACTCTCGCACTGTTCTACACAAATTTTGCTCATGAGATTTAAGGTGGGGCCCTCAAAGACGACAAATCGACATTTTAACGTTTTAAGGGAACCCCACCCATTCTCGATTTAAATTTTTCAAGATTTTCTATGGGCTGGTAAATGAATACCAATGCTTGTTAAGGTTTGTAACTTTGCACATATATATTTGAAGATTTAAAAGAGAAGAAAAATAATTTACAAAAAATAGTTTTTTGTAATTAAAGAAAAGTCCTTACATTTGATAGCGGGCATGATAACTCCTCACTGGAACATCGGAATCCGAAAATTCCAACGATGTTAGAAAAACTACATGTCTGGCTCTCGTATGAACTGGGATATTGACTTCGCTCTATAATTAACAAAATGGCGGACCTTTGAAAAAATATTTTTAGAAAATCGCCGATTTTTGACCAAAAACCAAGTTAAAAAATAAGGAAGATCTTCACCGATCGGCTTTATCCTAGTTCATACGATAGCCATACACTCAAAGTGAAACGTGTACAAATTTGGAATCGATTGGGTTATTAGTTTTTGAGTTATCGTGCCCGCCATTCGCAAAAGAGAAAAACGCGTTTAAAGTTTGAGAAGCCCTTCAGCCGTCACTTGATGCTGACACAATAAATCGGCTATATTTTCAAGAGTTCTTGAGATTTTCACTTGAAATTTTGTAGGGACATTCTTAAATTAGTGTAGAATCGAATTAAATCAAAAAAAATTTTGACCCCGAGAATGGGGGGTCCCCTTAATTATATTTTCTAAATTTTACCCGTACCATGTTACTAGAACCCTATATGTTTGTATTTCAAAACATTCAGTAAAACACCACGAAACTTTGGCCAGATTCTCTTCCTCAGTAAAAATTTCACAGTGTTCGAGCCTTCCTTGGCCAGAACTCGTCCTACAAGCAACATTTTGTGAGGATTGGTATATGACTGTGGGTTATTTTTGTTCTTTAAAAATAACCTGCAATAGACACAAACTAAGATCTAAGATTTTTCTTCGCGAACTTTCCAGTTACCAGCAGAAGAGTTATCTACCTGCTATAAGTAAAAACCTATACATATTATGACAATGATAATGCGTATACGCAAAAAAAACTATTTTTGAAATGTTCCTAACACACAATTGCTGACAATTATTGTTGGTATCAAATGGACAATTGAATCTTAGTATTATTGATAATATAAATAGCCGTTATCTATTAACTTTGTAATTCCGCCAATAAAATAAAATACCTTCAGCTCAATACTCATTGTCACAAAAGACACCCAATACTGCCATCCTTACAAAACAAATTTTATTTGCAATATAATATTTACGATATAATCCCTTCATTTCATTTATCATCTATTTTTTTATATTTGTTATTTCTAAAGTGGGTGGGTAAGTGTAGGAAAAAATTTCAATTAACTGCTACATTTTTCCATTTTGACCCTTCATAAACTTCAGTCACTGTGTTACGATGAATTGTGTTACAATTTTAGTCCGAATTTTAATCTACTCGTCTTTTTTTGCTATTTGGGTTTTATTTCCTTTTGATGCATTTTTGTTACATTTTTACATCATTACTCTTTGTCGTCGCAACTCCTCAACTCAACTCAATTCAACTCGACACGACTTGACTCACCTGATTCATTTCCTTTATCCACTGTTTTAACGGGTGAAGCACTATACACCTGCTGATTGCGGCGATTGTCATGGTCTTCTTTGTATTCACCCGGTAATGTGCGGGATTCATAGCCCTCGGCCAGGGGGCCACATAGAGTGCGACGATGTTTTATGGTTAAAGCTCTGGAGGGGTCAGAAAGACACACACACACACACAAACACACGTACGATGGTGGCGACAGCAAAACATTCATCCAGTAACGATGCAAAACATGAAACATTGAAAAAAAAGAGTAGAAAAAGAATTGTAGGGAAGGGGAGAAAGAAAAAAAGAACATGGAAAATGTTAAAATGGCACATAATTAAAAACGTGAGAATTAGATGAGTTTCCTTTTTTCACAACAACAATACTTCAAAAAAAAAAAAAAAAAACAACAAGAAAGAAAAATAAAAACACAACGCCGACAGCAAGCAACAGTGAGAAAAACCCCTTATAGCAACAACAACAACGACACCCTCACGTTGAAGACGAAGTAAGAAGACTAATTACAGGGCATACAGAAGTTAATTCGTCCGTTCATCTTAAGCATAATGGGCTAGTGTAGTTTATTGCTGTCAGAGTTAATATGAGAAAGAGATTAATTAAATTCGTTTTTCTTCAACGACTGTTGCCAGCTACACTCTGCTGTCCTATGTACATAAACTAGTCTTAGTCTTCAAACTAAATGGCTTATGTTCTTAAAGATTACTCCGAGAATAGTCCATTTATTGTTTAACAATTTGCAATGGAACACTAATGGTAATGAATAGTGTATGAAGAAGAAGAAAGGTTAGAGAGAGTGGGTGGGGAGAGATAGATAGATAAATGTGTTTTTGAGGGAAGCCCTTGCTAAAGCCACAAGAATCACTACCTAAGATATGGTTGGAACAGTTTTTTGTTTTTTTTTTAGCCTGTGATAATTTTTAGGGTAATACTCTGTGGGAACAATTTTTCCGTATAGGCTGACTAATTCGAATACTGAAGAAAATTTAAATTGAATCTATATAAAGGAACCCAAACTCATCCTGCAATAATTCTTATAACATCTATATACATACATTTTAAATAAATAATATTTTAAATAGTTTTTTTTTATTAAAATTCTACTTACATTGTTATTATGGCCACAGTTATAATGACAATGACAATAAACGTTGACAGCCAGTCGCCATTGGTGGGATTTGTAGCATTAATGAGGTTATTCATTAAATCATTTTCCGATGGAAAGACGGGAGGTGGTGGTATTGTAACACCATCTATATTCGTTGTAGCGAAGTGATAATGTTCTGTTGTTTTACCCGCGTCATTTGTTGCCGATATACGCAACTGATACCATTTGGCCGGTTGAAATTCACAAAATATCAGGTTTTCACGATTTTCCTCTGCATTGGAAATATCCGATGTTACCACCGTCCAACGAACATCGCCTGAAAAATAAAATTTAATATTTGCTCACATTTATACCGTATGTTTCTATGCATTGTTTTATATTGAATCTTAAAGCTAATAAGGGTATCATGACACCAAACATAACGGTGTTAAAAACAATTGGGAAACCAAACCGTTTCAGACAATTTGGAGTAGACATAAAACTTTCCTATTGAATCTTTATGTTTTTTGTTGGGCTTTTCTGGTCAGATAATTTTTTATGAAAATAAAACGATTTTTATTCCATATTTCGCTCGACGTTTCGTTGGCTTTTTTCACCCATTTTCAAGAGCTGATTTTATTAATCTATTGACAAAATAAAAATGAAGATGTAATTTCTTTTATTACATTTTAAATATTGCACTTATTTTTAACTTACTTTAATTATTTGTCATTTTTCTATTATTTACTTAGACTAAAAAACGGGACTCCACCAACATTTATATAATAAAAATAAATTATAAATAAAAAATCACAGTTAAAAATTAGGTATATCACAGAACTGGTGTTAGCTAATTGCAACACAATACTGAAGCTTAGTATTGTCTTTGTCTTCCTTTGTGTTTATTGATTTGGCAGAAACAGAAATAGAAAAAGTAAAACTTTCCGTCTGCTGGCTTGCTCCAGATGAATAACAGATTTAATCAATATTTCTTTCAATAAAAAAGTTTGCATTTAGGAAATATCGGTCTACTTCTTGGATAACTCTTCTATAAAAGCATAAAAATGTTGCTGAATAAACATTACCTCAATATTATATTTGTTAACAAAATTGTAAGAAAATATATGAGTCGTGTACTTTGAAACTGGTTTAAGCACATATTAAATTTTGGTACCCATCTTGGATTTCTAGTATATTTTACAAAACATATAACATTTTATTTTCTAACATGCAAACAAAATTAGTACCACTTAACAAATTTTTTTAAACAGAAACCATTAAATAATTCAATAGAGGAAAAAATGGACTTAAACCACTTTCAAAATAAACGGCTCATATCCTGTCCGATAATGACGTTTACCAATCCACTCCTTCGCGTCTTCACCATAATGGGCCAACATTTTGAAAAATCTTTAAATTTCATATGCAGGTAATTGATCTAACTTTTCGCATCTAAAATTAAAACTTCTCCGATTTTCCCTAATAAAATGTATAATGCTTCAATATAGATTTGATCCAGAAAGGTGGGCTACCCGACAACATATTCTGGTACCTCACCACTTGGACATCGTAATATGACTTCCTCAAATCTATATTAAGGGAACCGCACCTAATCTTCGTTTCAAAAGAATGAATTTTGGATGATTTTTTTAATTCTAACCAACACTAATTCAAGAATGTCCCTTAAAAGTTTCAAGTGAAAATATCAAGAACTCTTGAAGTATTAAGCGACTCCTGAGAGTGGTTCTCAAACATTAAACGCGTTTTTCTCGATAACCCTAAAATTAATAATCTAATCCCTTTCAAAATTTTACACGTTATTCTGTAAGTAAAGTTCTTCCCTTTATTCTAAATCAATACGCCGTCGAAAATAGGATTTTTTTGACAAATTCAATTTCACATGTCCGCCATTTTGTTAACTTTTGTGCGATGTTAATAATCCTTGTTGATACCAGAGCCACCAATGTACACTTTCGAATTTTTGGAATCGGAAGATTTTTCGTTAATTACAAAAAACAACTACAAAGAGTGGGAGGGGGAGCCTTAAATCAAACCAGTAAGGAAAGTAGTAAAGTCGGACTGGGCCGATACCCTTCACCTCTTTGGGTATATTTTACATATGACTCCTAACAGACTCCGCCTTTTCCGCCTTGACATTGAACAAACTTGAATATGTGATCTGCAACCTATGCTAAATTTCATTTCATTCGGGCAAGTTTCGAGTCGGTTGCGTACAATGGGACAAATTTATGTAAATCGATTTTATTTACATAAATTTAATCTCTATCAGATACACGTTTGTGTCTGCATCTGTACCTATTAAAAAAAAAACTATAACGTCATTCTAATCTCAATACGTTTCGTGTCAACCGGTGCAACGTTTACCTAAAATCCATCGAAAATACACATGGGAGCTATATCTAAATCTGAACCGATTTCAAAAAAATTGTGTGTCAATCGTACAAACTTTGGGTCTTTAGTGCACACTTTACATAAAATCGAAGAAAAATATAAATGGGAGCTATATCTAAATCTGAACCGATTTTCTCGAATCAATCTGCACTTAATTCAGTACGTTATGCCAAATTTTGTGCAAATCGAAAGATATAAAGGGACTTTGGTGCACCATTTACCTAAAATCGGAAGAAGCTATATATGGTAGATATATCTAAATCTGAACCGATTTTCAATAATTTTGGTGCACCATTTACCTTAAATCGGACGAAAAAATATATGGGAGCTATATCTGTATCTGAACCGATTTTAACGAAACTTAACTCACATGATTTTGCACTTAATAATTCAGTACGCTATGCCAAATTTTGTACAAATCGAAAGATATATAGTGGCTTTGGAGCACCATTTACATAAAATCGGACGAAACTATATATGGGAGCTATATCTAAAGCTGAACCGATTTTCACGAAACATAGCACACATCACTCTAGACTCAATTCCATACGCTGTGCTTAATTTCGTGCAAATCGAAAGATATGTTGGACTTTGTTGCACCAACGATCCATCTCCTGTAACAATGTTGATAATTTATACGTCCATAAGTCTACCGCATAATGGTATCTCCTCCTAGGAGTACCACCATATAAGGGCTACCCTGAAACTAGGGTCATTAATAATGTTGACTGCCATTTTCGACCTACTCTTTTCTTGCAGAATTAGTAATTAGTATCCCCGAAACCTTTATATGTGATATTTATTTTATAAACCCACTACTTTAATTATGACCAAAAATGGGATCTCTGGCCCATAGTATTGTATAATAATTTCAAGTCCAACATTTACAGTCAATGTCTCCTGGTCTACTAATTCTGACTGTATGCATGATATCTTGTGAGCGTGGAGATAGTTCATCCCTATAATCTATGTCTTGATCTTTAGATACTCCATGTATGCTCTTCTCAAAGAGCAAATTCAGACGACCACTGGCAAAATGTTAAAGATATTTTCTAACTAAAAAAATCATACGGCCATAGTGTCAAGTATTCGAAATCATGTACATATAATACCAATGTTATTAGAATATTCAAGTTAAAAAAGTTTCCCTCCGAACTTAATAAAACCGGACAGAGATTTCTTGACTTCATATGTGGCTTTTTAAGATATTGCAATACATTTGTCTTTCAATGTTGGTAACCCTGTCATAAATATATATTTAATTGTTTTCAATTTAAATACTTACAGATAAAAACCAAAACCACCATTTACAATGTCATTTTAAATATAAATTACCAATCATTTAATTGTTTTTGTTTGTTTTTTTTTCTCTGTCTGATATTCCCTTTATTTAAATAATAACAACTCCTACCTAATTTCGAAATAAACAATTAACTACCTTTTCGCATAATTCTATCTATATCTGTGTAATCCCATACCCCATATATCCAATCACCCACTCCCCCCAAATCAATTACCTATTGTAATTACATTTAGTTGCAATTTTTACAAAACCACAAAATAAGTCTCATTTGGTTTCATTTCAATTTACACCGACATGTCGATATAAGTACTGCTGCTTAACTACACAAAACAACAAGTCGAAAAAATCGATATTTTAAATTAAATTAAATAATGTTTAATGGAAATTTATTAATTATATGCCCAAATGAATTCCCAGCTAATGACATTATTCAAAATATTTTACGCACGTATTCATTTTGTAGCAACTGGCCCGGCTATACCATATGCGGTAAGGGTCACCACCGAGTCAACCCATTGGCCATTATAAAGATTGCAAAAGTAGCAACAAAATAGCAAATAAACAAAAACAACAACAGCAGCAAAAAACAACGTTAATTTCACAAACCAACCGCAACGCAACGAAATTCATCCCCGTACACACGAGGATGTTTATGTAAACATGAGCATAGATAGAATTCAATTACGATAACATGGTCAAATGACAGCGTGTGCTACACACACACAGCATCATTGGTTATAACGCTGACCACCAAACGTTTACCGCAAAAACTGTAAAAACAGCATAGTTGCCAGCTGTTTGATACTTAGAGAGACGGTATTAGTTTTGCATTAGATTTATTGTAGTCCAAATTAAACTGAGCTTTCATTAATTTATACACTATAGTAATAAATAATTATTTAATTAATTATATCTTTTTTCTATAGAAAACAATTCGCAGGACCACAGGTCCCAGTTTTTTTTCTATAGAAAAAAATTCACAGGACCACTGGTCCCAGTTTTTTTTCTATAGAAAAAAATTCACAGGACAACAGGTCCTAGTTTCTTTCTATAGAAAAAAATTCACAGGACAACAGGTCGCAGTTTTTTTCTATAGAAAAAAAATCACAGGACAACAGGTCCTAGTTTTTTTCTATAGAAAAAAATTCACAGGACCACAGGTCCCAGTTTTTTCTATAGAAAAAAATTAACAGGACCACAGGTCCCAGAAAAAAATTCACAGGACCAAAGGTCCCAGTTTTTTCTATAGAAAAAATTCACAGGACCACAGGTCCCAGTTTTTTTCTATAGAAAAAAATTCACAGGACCACAGGTCCCAGTTTTTTTCTATAGAAAAAAATTCACTGGACCACAGGTCCCAGTTTTTTTCTATAGAAAAAAATTCACAGGACCACAGGTCCCAGTTTTTTTTCTATAGAAAAAAATTCACAGGACCACAGGTCCCAGTTTTTTTCTATAGAAAAAAATTCACAGGACCACAGGTCCCAGTTTTTTTTTCTATAGAAAAAAATTCACAGGACCACAGGTCCCAGTTTTTTTCTATAGAAAAAAATTCACAGGACCACAGGTCCCAGTTTTTTTCTATAGAAAAAAATTCACAGGACCACAGGTCCCAGTTTTTT